TCTCGCGCTCGACCGCCGAGCTTTGAGATGGCTAGCGCCACGCGCTGTTGCTCGGTCTCGAGCATGGCGGATGCGATGGCTAATTTGACCTGTCTCACCCAGAGCAGGAGATTCTCTCCATCCTTACCTTCGAAGACCTTAACGTTCACCATGAGCTGCTTAGGGCGGGGAAACTCATCCGTTACTGACGGTGGCGTCATAGACGCAAATGATGCAGACATCTTCTGCTGCGGGTGCTCTAGTAGCGCAGTCTTGTAGTCAGAAAACGCCTCTAGATGCGCACCGATTGCTTCGGGGCCTTGCGCAGAAAGGTGTTGCACGCCTTCAGGGCCAAGCAAGGACATCAGCTTTTTAAGCCCGTCCTGCATGCCCGGGGGCAAAAAAAAACTTGTTCCATCCTCACATAAGATCAGTCTAAACGACTCGGGTGTAGATTGACTACAAGTGCAACCAAGTGCAGCGGGGCTGCCGCAGCTTCTCGCTTAGAGGAAGCGTAAGTTAGGTCACCGACCTTTCGCTCTATACTTAGAACAAGTACGAGTTTAGCGGATCGCAATCCGCTTACTCCAAGAGTAATTACAACCTAAACCTAAGGCTAATAAAGCTATTTCAAATTCAAAAACTAGCTTTATTTGTTTTTATCTGCGGCAAAGCCGTCTAATTTTAATTCATAGGTTTTCACAAATATGTGTTGCAAAATCTAAATACATGTATAGCTACTGGCTATCCAGCCCCGTACCGTATTCGTGTTTGGGTGTGGTCACACCATTCCCATCTGGTTTGACACACCCCTGTTACCAGGGTATGTGTAACCCCGTTACAGCTGCAAGCAGACGCCGATGGGAGAGATCGGATGATCGCGTTCGAATCTCGCCAGCTTGAGGCTGCGGAGAGGAACTACCAGTCCATGACAACGAGTTACCTGCGATGAAGTATGCGCCTGTCAACTGCGAGGTGCACTTGCTTGACTCAATGCCGTTTGTGATCTACATTGATCATGCGTCATTACGCATTGCCTGCGACTCAGTCGTCTCAACGCTCGCAGGGGATGGCCAGGTGGCTCTCATTTTTTGCAAAATAAAACTTCGAGGTGGAGTATAAGCCAGGTAAGCTGAATGCTTTGGCTGATGCGTTGTCACGCAGACCGAACTATGAGCTTGCTTATATTAAGACGGTGATGTCGTCAGTGATGCGCCGCATACGCGTGTGACAGTATGTGTGTAGCGCTGCTACAGGCTCCCAGGAGCTGTTGGATCGGTGCTATAATATAGCAAGACGTTATTCTACGAATATGGGTGC